TTATTTGTTAATTTATCCTTTTAGAGTTTCTGTAGCCAGTCTTTAAATAGAGCAATTTAGCATTTTGAGGAAAAACAAACTCTGCACTATCCAAGAATATAATTGAAAATTACCCCATACCAATGCACGATAATTACCTTTCAAAACATTTCCCAGTGCTTGACATCATAGTGGTAATTGCTTAATGATATTATAATTTCATTACGTAGGGATTACAATGGCAAAATGATGTAAGTTGGAGGCTTTGAAAATTAAGTTACAATGAAAACGAAACCTTTTATGTAAGTTTAAAGCACTATTTCAATGTAAAATTATACATAATCTCACCCAATTTTTGTATAAATGTCATTTGGCTAGTTTTAAAATTCATCCACTTAAAGCTTTGGTACTAAAAACAAAACATGAAACCTATCTAAGTCCCCATGGTTATAATGCATGAGATTCCAGTTCTATAGCAATACGTATTGGAACAAATGCATTTATATAGCAGTTATTGCTCTAGTTTGTGTGCATAATGTAGCAAAACCTCTACTAATGAATTGGATCCACCTCGATCCCTTTGCAGTTGAGTGATAAAGATGATGGCCCATTACAATAGTTATTTTCATCTTGAAAGATTTCTGCCTGGTTATAAAACGTATTGAGTTTTCTAATTTTATAAGACCAGCTTAAAACTCATCTTTTTGCAAAATACAGGCACAGAATGCACTAAACAGTGATATAGCCTATAACTCTTAGATGCCAGAAGTCAGAGGACCCTTCAATGAGTTGATGGAATAAAGATAAGAAATCAAATGGCAGATCCTTGAGACCATTTGACTCTTAATCACGTATCTTGGTGATACGTGATTTTACCATTGTACCTGCTGGAAAAATTAATCTTATTTTTTTGAATCATCCATAATTTTTTATATAAGAATCCTATTTATTTAAAGAGGAATTCATCATTATGTCCTATATAAAATAAGTTGAAAGCTTTCTGTTTCATTCAAATCCACTTATTTTTAGAGAGAGTCTTGCTATACGGTGCATGCACTCACCAAAAAGACAGATAGAAAATGAGAAATCACACCCTAGGGGGTATGGCTGTGCCACAGTCTCTTCTCCTCCATTCTCCTCTTGAGATTTTGAGCGTGCATCCACATGTGCCCAGCATGAGTTTTAAGCCACGGGGTCCAGGACTCAAACCACAGTTGACTATATAAGAGTCCAGTGACATAACCATTACGCCATCTGCTGGTCCTGTGAAATGGCATTGTTATTCCCATTTCATGAGCAAGGAAACCAAGAAGATCCAGTGAGGTGGAGTGGCCTGCTCCTCAGGTCGGTCATTCGGACAGTAGCATAAAAGCAGCCATTCATCCCCAGGTGAGCTTTCAGAGCCTATGAGCACTCTTAGCCACTCTGCAGGAACACCTCCCAGTTTAACTCCTCATTAATTTTAGTAGCTGCTTTTATGTCTTATGCATGTGTCCTATCCACAACCAGGCTGTGCCCTGCTCAGTGACATAGCAGGCACACAGTACTTATTGATAAACTGAGTTTGTTCAGTTCTCTGAAGTAGTCCAAATATTAAGGGGACTAAACGCCTAAAAGTAAGGCACACCCTCCTTTTGTGCACTTGAGGTGCAAAAGTGACCTGAGGGGATCATCTTCCACATGCAATGACCAGTGAAGAACATTCTCAGCCACGCCTACCTAGAGGAAGGAGGATGGAGGTGAGGCCTGAGGACTAAGCTTAAGGCAACAAAAAAACTAAAGGAAAGGCAGCCTTCCTTCTCTGATTTCCTGTTCTTAATTAGCAGTTCTGCTGGGTGCTCAGGTCAGCTCCCACTGTCAATCTAATATGTCATCAGCAGCATCCTGTCACTCTTCAAAGATATAACCTACCATAGCCATGAGTCAAAAGCTGATCAAAGGCATTGGAGAGATTGTTGGATCTGGTCCCCAGTCCTGTGCTGTGTGTACCCACAAAATCCTGCCCAGATGGGTGCTCATGGCCACTTCACCCTGCCTAGAATACCTGTTCAGTCTCTGGTCAGTGCTCATGCTTAGAAAATTCTTGCTTATTCTGAAACAAAATATGGTTTCCTGTGACTTCCACCCATTAACCCCTATTGTTTCCTCCCAGAACCCCACAGAATTTTCTTAACTTCTCACTCATTTGTCCCCTTCACATTCTTGAAGTCAGAAGGGCTGCTATCACCTCCTTTAAGCTTTCTCTTTTCTGACGGTAAGCCCAGTTCTTTTGGGCTTCTGGAGCTCTTTGCCTCTACCCTCCCTCATGGACTCTCTCATGTTTACCAATTGTTTTTGAAAAACAAGAAATCAAATTTCTTTTATTTCCAAACCTGATTTGTTTTTAAAATGTAGAACACCTTTAAATTTTCTTCCTCTTTTCCATGTTTAAATTTCTTTAATGTACTAGCTCCCAATTAAACGTGTTACAGCACTCTTAACAGAAACATCACGCATGGTGTTAAAAGATAAACTTAGGCACATTAAAATTTTAAAGAGTTTATTTGAGCAGACAATCCATGAATCCATTGGCACTAGACGGCAAGAGGTCTGGTGCCAATGGGTTTTCAACTGAAAGAGGAAGCGAGAAGCTTTTATAAGGTGTTCATAGAAGCAAGATAAAAAATATATTTGGTTAAAGAGAAAGTCCTAGTTAGAGGTTAGTTTGGCAGTTTCTGGTTGGTTAAGCTTAAGTTTTATTTCATTGTGTACATTGAGTTGGGATTCTGTTTGCTTATGTAGGAGTCCAGGGCGTTGGGGCCCTCAGACAATTGATTTTTAAAAAAATTTTTTAATTAAAAAAAAAAAAAAAACAGTGTGGTTGAAAGAACCTGGAAACCCAAGTTTTCCCCGGTTCTCTAACTCACCAAGAAGCCTCAGATGACCTATATAACTTTGCTGACCCTGGCTTCCTCATCTTTCAAAAGCTTACTCTACTTCCTGTCTACCTCACAGGGACATAAGGGTCTAATAAGCCACTGCTTGGAAGGTGCTTTCTAAACCGTCAAGGGAGGGATCTACCAGTTAAGGTCTTGGCAAGCAAGGCAGACGAAGCCCTTCCCCTCTTAAACTCCGTGTTAGAAGGACTGCTCACACCGCAGCAGACTCAGCTGAGTGCACGTTTCACTGCTTTACCACGCCCTCCTTGAGAACAGGGCTTATTTCTTAGAATCATTCTATACCCAACACCTAGTTCAGTGAGCTAGGCTCAGAGAAAGATGTTAGTGTGTTTTGAATGGCTAGAAGGATAGGCAGAGGAAGGACTATGGTACAGTTTTAAACTCCTGCCTCACCATCTGGGCCTCACCTTGGACTTAACTCCAGTCTGTCAGTGTCCTGACAGGGTCCATGTGCTACCTTGGGCTGATTCGGGTTGGAAAGAACAGAGTACACCACTACGTCTCTTTCCCCTGGACAGGGACACTTAAGATCATGAGCTTGTATTCACCCCTTCAAGGAGTAATTTTTATTGAGCCTCTGTCGTGTGCTGAGTCCTGTGCCATGCCCACCACCCAATCCTTTCTGAAGCTCACCAAGGTTTCCTTTGGTCCTTAATAGCCTGTGCTAATGAAGAGAGAGGAATGTTGCCTTATGACCCCATTCCTCTTAAGTCTGCTGTGATCCTCTCCAACCCCAGGAAGTCTTAACCTCTCAAACTCTAAACTGTTGTTACATAGGCTTCCAGGAGTCCTCAGAAGGCACTCACAGGCAAGTATCGAGGTGCTTAATACATTCTAAGCCCATAAAAGGTGCTTAGAAAACATCTTTATTAGACTGTTCTTTTTTCATTTTATGCCATTTATTGGAAGCCAGTCAAACCTCAATAATGACTTAGGCAATGAGAGTCGTCTTCATCCAAGCCATCTAAATGGCTGTCACAAGAAAAAACATCAAGCCACATTCATATCATGCCCAGCAAATTTAATGGATCTTCCTCCATTAATAAAACTACAGGTTGGGCCTGCAGGTGGCATGGAGGTTGAGGTGCTATATCCCACATGGCTGACTGTGCAGTACAAGTTCTAGACCTGGTGGCTAGAAAAACACAATGAACACAATGGGCATGGACAGCAGGTGGTGTGGTGGTTAAGGGTGCTGGACTCCCATATGGTCAACTGGGGTTCAAGTCCCAGACCTGGACACTTTCTCTCTCTCTCTCGTTGTGTCCCTCTCTGGTCAAATTTAAATGAATAAATAAAGTTAAATAAAATAATTCTTTAAAAGAAAAAAAACATGAGCATGTATGTGTGCATGCCCAAAATCCTGAGAGGAGAATATACAAGGGCTTTTAGCGTGGCCATGCCACCTAGGCTATCCTTTCTCTCTCTCTCTCTCTCTCTCTCTCTCTGTTTCTCGTGAGAGCACACACACCCTAGTAAACTTTAAAAAAAAAAAAAAAAATACATATCACCTATAAACTTTAAAAAAAAAAAAAAAACTACGTATCACCTGACATGGTATTTTCTATAGGTGTTCTCTGCATAATGTATCTTATAATTCTAAATGGCATTATTTTAACTCATACTTATTCGGTAGCCTCCTTAGCATATATGATCATTGCATTCTCTGTTTTATCATTGAATTTGCACTGTTTTTCATTTGGTACAGCTCTAGCCTTGAAGAAGTTCACAGCAATGATAATAAAGTTTTGAATCCTGCCTTAGTTTCCCTAATCCTGATGAATACAGCTCGTTAGTCCTTTGGTCCATTCCCTTCTTCTTTCCCCTCCATACCAGCGCTCCACATTCAGTTTTTTCACCCTGTCCTCCCTATCACTGGTGTTTCTTCTCTGTTTATACTGTATGTGTGGCATCTCATCACTTCCACATTCTTCCTCCACTCCAGCCTGAACCTCATACCTGCATTTAGAAAATCTCCCAGGAAAGATGGTGTTTCCTGCTTCGTTGCCCTTCTTATGTTGCAGTTAGGAATTCCGGGCCAGACCTGCAGCTAACTTATCTGTGGTTCCCCCTCCCCCACAGGTGAAGAAGACCTGAGTGTGGAAGAGGACGAGGAAGTGCTGACTCTGTTGTATGACCCATGTCTGAACTGTTATTTTGACCCGCAGACTGGGAAATACTACGAGTTGGTATGATCCCTCAGTCCAGCCCAGTCGGAGCAGGATAGCAGTTCAGAGTCTGTTAAGGAAGCTCCACACCCTGTGTGTTGGGCAGGCCCATGGACTTAAAAGTAACCGAAAGAAATGAATTCATCTTATAAATAATGTCCAACGTTAAAAATTCCTACATTCTTTCGGTAGATGTGTGTGATTTTGAAACTGTGATAGAAATTAATAGAGAGACAAGTCTTTAGGACTTTGAATTGGTTCTTATTTGTTTGTTCTCACCCTCCATTTAATTTTATGTCATATAATTTTACATAAACGAATTAAGACTTATTCAAATTTTTTTGCAGTGTTAATCTTTAAATGATGGCTTGATATACAGAAAATGTATTCTTGTTTAAAAGATGTCTGGGTACTTATTTTATGATATATTTGTATTAAAAAATAAAGTGTGATGGTCAGAAGGATACCTTTTAAAGAGCTTCTTTTTATTCACCCTGCTTTCTTTGCTAGAATATTCCTAGGTGATGGCTACCTTGTCTTAGACCCCTAGAAGAGGGTCCATTAAGGTCAGCCTTTAGGCTCCCAGTTCCCTGGCACAGGCCCCACTATCTCCATTTTAGTACAATTCTTTCAGTTTGCCAAAGATCACAACGTTGTTCATCACGTAAGCTGCTTAGCTCTGGGCTTTGCTTTTCTAAAAAGCCTTATACTCATTGTCTCTGAACGCCTGCTCCATGGATCCAGATTTAACAAGAAGTCACCCATTCGAACATCCCCCAGACCTCACCACAGCTGCGTCTTGGACCCAGAGAAAACTTGACGGCTTGCTTTGGCCTTTAACGTCATGTCAGTGCAACTGCTTGCTGCCTCACAAGAAAAAAACGTGTGCTTCCTGCATTTGGGTAGATAGCCTTGAATTGTGTGCCAAGTATAGTAATATTGAGCTTGAGGAAGTACTTATTATGTTAGTTGGCATATTTTGTTATTTAATAAAGATTTTCAATAAAGTGTACTATTGGAAATGGAAATTTATTGGTGTACAATTGGATTTAATGGTAGTACTATAATTTCATTTAATAGTGCTTCATAGAGGAAATAGCTCTTTTTTTTTTTTTCCAGGAGTAGCTTTGGACTCCTGTTCACAGGATCATGCATTATTTAGAACCATGTTTGCGTTTGATAAGCTTTTGATCCTGTTATTCACAAAGTATACCTTTGTTAGGAATTTCTCCCCAAGATCTTCATGCTTACAAAATGAAAATGAATAACTGAAGCTTCATCAAGCATGCAGAATTGTAAGAGAGGTGGGTTATCTTGATTATGACCTTGAGGACGGAAGGGCTTTGAAGGCCTTATTCCTGCTTTATATAGTCTCAGGACCAACTGCATGAAGGTAGAGTTGATTAAAAATTTATATTGTTAAAACTTGTAGTTACAGTTATAAAAAAGATCATGAGCTATATTATGGAGGAAAAAAATATTAGCAATACCAGGGTGACCCATGAACCCCAAAATAGAATGCTCCCAGATTGGAGCTGGGACATAGAAGACTAGAGAGAGCTCTGTTGGAATTCATGAAATGGAAACCATATATCACCTTTGGTCCCAGAATTCAAAGACTTGCTGAAAAACAAAGCTCCAAGAGGCACAGGAGTGGCAGCAGCTAACAGTTTCTCCTGATGACCCACAGTCACCAAATGACAGTGCCACCTTTTTCTACTTCGGGTCTCTGCCAAAGGAGCAAGAAGATGTTGGCCTGACTTGTTTATCCCCAGGACCATGTGGAATGGTGGTGAGATGGGCCCTGAAGAAGAAGGCAACCTTCACAAAATGGGGAGGAATTCCAGACAGGCAAAAACAAGAGATGTCTGTCCTAGGAGTCTACAGGTATTCCTCTGTTTGTTTTGTCCATAACTTTCTCGACTACTCAGTCCATCTGCTAAAACACTCAGCCACTCCACAATGCCACAAAAACAATGAACTCTCAATTTCAATTCAGATATCCAAGAGTCATGATTCTATGTGGTCTAGTTTTGTCCAGTGTCCAGCAGAACCTTCTTTCATGGATAAGGAAGGAAGGCAAGTAAGGGGTTACTCCTCACAAGCCAAGCAGACACCCCAGAGCTGTCTAACACAAGGTCTTAATATCCACTTTTTACATTTTATTTGCCATTCTAAAAGGGATAGCTTCATATCTTTTGAGAGTTCTACAAAGAACTGAAAAATCAAAATAGATGTGTTTCACATTGTCAACTTTAAACCAAAATGGTGTGGGCAGTTTATTTGGGAATTCCTTGACTGGGCCATACTTGTTCACTGGTTATCAAATTTTGCTACATATTAGAATCTCCTAGGGAGAATCTAATCATATCAACACCTAGGTTTCACACCTAGAATCTGATTTGATTGGTCTCGGGTGCAGCATGGGCACTGGGAGTTTTAAAAACCCCTCTGGCGATTCTAATGGGCAGTCAGGGTTCAAACGAATGCTGTAGATTAGATCTGACATAATTAGAGGGCATATGTACCTGTGGGGAAGAGTCTATATTATTCATTTCCATGTTTAAGACCTTAATTTCTATTCTAATCAAATTATACCAGACATTTATATCTGAAACTGACTATTGCACATGGATACTAAAACTTGGATTGATTCAATATGAAAATACAACTTAAGATCATTTGATATCAGCCTGGGGACTGATTCAAACAGTTTTTTGTTTGATAGAATTGGGTTGCGACTTAAAGTCATCAATCTCTAAATTATTTTTAATTTCTGAGCCCACTTAATGGGAATTATGGAAAAACAGCTCTCAGTGACACTGGTACCAGATCAATGATTTCATTTCCCTGGCAATTATAAGTCCTTTCTCTCTCCAATTTATTTTATTTTATTTCCTATTAAAAATAAATACTGAGCCAGCCAGTGGCATGGTTGTCAAGATAGCTAGATCACACATACCTGACTGCCTGGTTTGAATTCTGGCCCCAGTGACTTAAAGAACACTCTGGGCACATGTGCATGCATGCCCAGAATCCCAAGAGGAGAATGGAGAAGAAATGATTGCAGCATGGCCATTCTCCGGGGGGGAGGGGGTGCTTTCTCATTTTCTCTCTCACATTCTCTCTCTCTCCACCAAGCACCTGTACCCTGTAGCAAATTAAGATAAAGAAAATACCGACATAACAAAATGCATACACACTTGTGCAAAATACTTTGCCCTGTTTTTCCATATTTAAATCAGTTGTTTCATCTACTTTTCATCTTGACTTTTCTTTTTATTTTTGAAGTTCAAACTGTTTAATAACCAAGAGTAGTGTAGTCACAGAGTGTGCAAGCAGAGAACAATTAATTAAAAGGATAATTTTTAAATTTCTCTTTGACTTTAACTGAATATCTAGCTGCTGGAAGTTTCTGGACTTTAAAAAAAAAGAACTACTCTAGGTTGTATCCTATGACCCCCTCCCCCATCTTCAATCAAAACTGTAAGAATAGTGCAAATTAAGAATCACCTAACTATGTGTGGTTTTATAGTGCTTTTATTTTATGCAGCCCTCATTTTGCATTCCAAAAAATTTGATCATAAAGAGATTATTGGTTTGTTTTTTTTTTTTCCTTTTAGTTTTGCCAGTGGGCTCATGGGGGGCGGGGGCGGGGAGGCTAGAGAGAAAGGGGAAGTGAGAAAGTACTCCTCCCCCATGGGGCATGGTCACACCCAAACCTCCCTCTTCCATTTCTTCCTCATTTCAGGATTTGGGGCATGCATGCACAAATTGGGGGCATGTGTATCTCAAGCTGCTAGGTCCAGGACTTGAACTGTGCAGTTGACCCTATGGGATCCAGCCACCTTAAATACCATACCACAGCCTGGCCACATAAAGAGAATTCTTGTCAAGCGGGACCAGCAGATGGCATAACCGTTACGTTGCTGGACTACCACATGGGTAACCACAGCAGCTTAAAACTCAGACCAGTCCTATGAGCGTGCATGCCCAAGGAGAGGGGAGTGGAGGAAAAGGGATTGTGGCATGGCCATCGCCCCTAGGGAGTGATTTTTTGCTTTCTGTCTCTGTCTCTCCAGTGAGCACATGCACCCATAGCAAAAAAGAATTCTTGTCAAGCAAATCCTATTTTCTCCTTTTCTCTCATTATAGTAGTTGAGATAGAATCATGTAATTGGGCCTAGAAAGGTCAATCATGGCCATTTCTTTAAACTCTAGTTTTACAGTTGAGAAAAGTGAGATTTAGATCGAGGAGTTCATTGTCAAAAACCACTTAGTTTGGAATCTATTATCCCTCACTTAAGATAAGGATTCAGGTGCGGTTCCATGGCCTAGTGGTTAGGACAGTAGGATCCCACATGACCAACCTTGCGTGCAGGTCCCAGAGCTGGTGGCTTGAGAAGCATCCTGAGAGCGTGTGCACATGAGTGTGGTTCTCACTCAGTGTTTCCTTCTCTTGCTCTGTGCAGGCAGATTCTTTCTTCCTTCAGTTGTCACCCTTTATATCTCAGGATCAGCATTTTGCCATGTCTGCTCTAAGAAATAGTACTTCCGTTACATGTTACGAATAATGGAAGAGGTCCATGGTCCAACAAAGTTGGAAAGTATTGGAGAAGAGAAAATGCTCATTTGCCTTTTCTGGGGAAGTTCTCAGTGGCTTTCCTAGACTGACATTCCCTCCCAGGGAATCTCCAGGGAGGGGAGGAATATGTGCCCTTCAACTTCTCACTTTGATTTATCTACAGAATTCTTGCTTTAGAGCATCTCAAGGGTCTTCTCTACCCATGGAAACTGCTTTGAGAAATGCTGCTGTGAACCTCTTCTCCAGAACCTGGAAGCCTTGACTCCCAGCAGAACTCCCAGAAATGTCTCCCCAGTTTGGTTTTGTGTGTGTGTGTGTGTGTGTGTGTGCACCTGTATGTTGTTTTGTGGAGGAAAGGGGTTTGGAGCTTTTTGCTTTACCCAGATATTTCACAGACCTCTGACCAGACTATAATAAGATACATTATTCTTCAGGGGCTAGCAGGTGGGTGGTGTCATAGTTATGGTGCTGGACTCCCACGTGGCTGACCATGGTTGGCGACCCAGTGGCTTGAAAATCGTGCTGGTCGCATGTGCATGTATGACCAAAGTCCCAGGAGGAGAATGGAGGAGAAGGGGTTGCAGTGGTGTGGCCATGTCCCCTGGCGGGATGATTTCTCACCTTCCCTCTCACTGACTCTCTCCAGAAAGCACACATGCCCTATGGCAAAAATCTAAAAAAATAAAATGATTCGTCAGGCTCACTTTTCATCCAAAACAAGCTCCACTGAAGCCTTAATATTTCCTAGGTCTGAGGTTTTGGTCACCTAAGATGAAGAAATTTTCTTTCTATTACTTTAAATTATACAAACTTACAATTACAGGTAATATAGCTAACTTGTAACAAAGGATAAATCTAAGTGAAGGTCCATTCATCATG